ATACAGTGTCTTTGTCATGGACTTGTGCTGTGTAGGGATTGTTGTGATCCCTTTCTGTGTCCGCTTCGTAGGGATTTATTCCTATTCTCATCTAGAAATCGTGTTTGGGAGGGATCTTGGAACTTGAGTTCAAAGGAATATGCCCATAAAATGCGAGTTGCGGGGCGGGGGCAAGGTTCTAGGTCCTGTGCTGTATTAGTTTATCTTTAGTTCCTGTCAGTAATGGGGAGATGATCTGACTGTGCAGGTGAGTGCCAGCGGAGCAGGTTGTGTGACATGCCTGAAGCTGGCTGGGACGACTAGGACAGAGTAAGTAATTGAAGACGGACCCTCTGTTGTCTTTAGACAGACAGACTTCACTTTGAAAGCCTCCAGCTTCCCCTGTGGCTTGAGTATCTTGAAATGAAGCTCACCCTCAGCTAGGCTAGAGCAGCTGCTGGAAGAGACGAAGGGGTGAACAGCACCGTGAGAGCACGTTCTCTCTACAGCCATCAAAACCCAGCATCTTTCCTACTCCTGCCAGAAGTAATAACATAAATAAGTAAAAATACTCCCTCTTACATCTGCAATCACTGCAGCTTTCTAGCTCCTATTATCCCAATTAATGTCAAGCCTTTGGAGAGGGGCTGCTGAATCAGACAGACTGTGTCACGTCAGGTCGTGCTGAAATCCTGATTCCTAGAATGATTCTCGAGAACGGCCCCGGCGGGTCACGCTGAAGGTCTGTCGCGCTGCACAGCTGCCCTCTGACAGCAGCCAGTGGCCGTAGCCTTAGGAAAGGGGCTGCAGGAATTAGGGCAGCGCAGCCTGATCTTTCCCTGCGCTGTATCGTTGCCCTGATTTGTAGCAGAGCTGTGGCTGCGCAGCTTTCCCCCGTTGTCCATGTGGAGCAGTTCATCCGAGGTAAGCGGAGCGGTGCCAGGAGGAGTCCCGCAGCCCCCTGCTTCCCAGAGCAGCATCTCGGATCAAAGGAATAAAACTGTCTGCTTTAAGAAACTCTAGCCCTCCGCTCTCCCGAGAAGTCGAGCAACCACTGGAATTTGTCTTGGAGTTTTACTGAAAAAGTACTGGGTCTGTCTTTTCGTCTCGGTGTCTGTAGGATTCTTTCTGGTGGGTGAGACTGGGATTTTTTTAGCCCTTCCTGTGTTGAAAGCATTGAAGTGTAGTAACTCCACCACACTCCTTTAGGAAAGACAAATATTATTACATGGTGGGAAAAGCAAAGGAGATTGTGACTTGAAGGGCTCTGAATCACCACTGCCGTGGAAGAAGCTCTCTGCCCTTTTCAGAGTCTCTGGCCCTAAATGTTTTCTTATTTTTACAGAGCCTGTTTATCTGTCACCGATGTGTTTTTAAGGGCTGAATACAGATGCTTCTGTTGCTTTTCGGTGTTGGACTGTGTAGAAAGCTTTTGCCTTTTATGTACACCGCTGCCGTCCCACAGCCTGTCCGGCAGACTCTCTACAGAACCAGAACATGAGAAAAGGCCCCGAGAAATCAGTATTTAATGTGGAGGCTGAAGCAGCTATTGTCAAAGAAACAGAATGCCTAAATGGGGAAGGGAATGTCACTGTCGCACCTCTAAGGGCTCTCTTCACTAACGGGAAAAGTGTGCTTTTAGATGCGTTAGCTCATCCTTTAAATATCCCTCTGTAAACAAGGAGAGTTTTATTTTTAGCATAATCGCTGGTCGAAGGGAATCCTGGATCCTCGGTTCCCTCCCCGTTAGGGTTCACTAGCGGCGCTTTTAGTAGATGAATTGTGATCTGTGCTTGGTGATATTTCGCCCTGTTTTCCTCTCTCCCCCTCACCTCCCCCATGCAGCATAGACGTACTGTAAGTTGACCTCGCTGACTTCTGTCCCCTCCTCCCCTGTGTCTCCCTTCCAGCGTACTGGTTGGAGGCAGATGTATCGCAGTCTTGCTGCAAGGTGACAGAGCTGTGACCCTGCAAACTGCTGATAGTGCTCGATGCTGAAAAGCCTCCAAGCCTGGGCACGCCGTGTCTTTCTAACTAGATGCGCCGTATCTCCCCCGGAGAGCACAGGGTGGAGGCACCCTGGGGCAGGAGGGTACGTCTGGGGGAGGTGGTGTGGCGGGTTTGCCGGCACGGCTTGCTTTTGGCTGTGTGCTGAAGCAGGTCAGCCCAAGCCCAGCTCGTGCTGTCCTATGACCTGTGTGGGAGCCCACGGGCGCGGGGGTGTCCTTCCCGATGAAAACAGCTCTGGGTCATTTCGGTCTCACGCACTCCAAATGCCCAGACGCCCCCGAAGCGTCTGGGATTGAAAGGCATGATACAAAAAAGAAGTGGATCTGAAATCCCTTATTTACTTCTGGCTGTCATTCTTGTGGTATATATTGGATCACATGCTGCTTTTCTTTGCAAAAACGCCCGACTCTTTCATTTCTCCAAAGTTTAAATGCTCTTGTATTCAGATCACACTAGATCCTAGGA